ATTCCATACAAAGAAATGAATTTTTTTTAAGTACTAAAGTCAAAAAAATTGTTTGAAATATGCTAGCAAACTTCAAATTTCCCAGCCACGAATATAGTTCAAGAGTATGGTACTGTATAAGGTATGTCGTACTTATTGGGATTTATTTACAGATATCCTTAATGTAAACAAAACTTTAAAACAATGGGAAAAAAGGTAATGGAGACCCGACTTTCGACATACAAACAAATCAACTTACAAACAGCCTCTCGGTCCCCATTATATTCTTAAGTTGGGGACTTACTGTATATATATATATATATGTGAGTGTGTGTGTTTGTGTGTGTAATATATGTGTATAGGTATGTGTATATATATGTATGTGTGTATATATACATATATGTATATATTTATTCATATATATATATATATATATATATATATATATATATATATATATATATATATATATATATATATATTATGTATATATATATTATATATATATACACATACATATACATATATACAGATACATGTATATATGTATTTATATATATTTATATTTATATATATATTTATATTTATATGTATATATTTATGTATATACACATATACATCTACATACATGTGTGTATGTGTGTGTGTGTGTGCCTGTATGTGTGTATATAAATATAAATATTATTATTATTAATTTTATATATATATATATATATATATATATATATATATATATCATGCATGCATACATATATATATACATTTAGGTTGTTTTTATTTGTTTTTTTGTTTTTTTTTTAGTTTCCCCGAATAGGGGTGGTTCCCTTGAACTAAGTTGGCCATTGCAATATTAACATTTAGCTTTGGTGGTGGAAAGACCCTACCCACACACTAACCCATGCATATGATTCCAGATCGGGATCAAGCAGTAACAAGGACCACGACAGTGACAGATTGACATAAATGGCTGCAGCACCCACGTCCAGAACAACACTCCATATAAAGCCTCCAGATGGATTTTCCACACGAGGAGAGGCTTCTTCTGTGGCCAAGCGGTGGAAGGATTGGCTAGCAGCTTTTGAAATCTACCTTGACGTGGCAAATGTGGAAACAGACAGCAGAAAGAGAGCATTACTCCTACACACAGCAGGATTGGAAGTCCAAGAGATTTGCCGTGGCATGCCTTCATCTAGTGCCAGTGCTACGTATGCAGGTTTGGTCACGGCACTGAACAAATATTTTATTCCAGTGGGGAATTTTAGGCATGAGCGCTTTCTCTTCAACAGCTGCGCACAAAAACAAGATGAACCTATTAGTGCATACACAGCAAGATTAAGAAAGTTGGCTGCCACATGTGAGTTTGAGAAGAACAAGGGCAAGGAGGATATCATTATTGACCAGATCATTGCAAAGTGCAACTCAAAGCATTTGAGAAGAGAGTTACTGCAGGAGCCAAATCTCACCCTCGGCAGAGTTTTGGAGATTGCTAAGGTGATGGAGACAACAAAGAAAACTCGGAAGGTGAAGGAGGAACAGCCATGCTTCCGGTGTGGCAGAGAAGGTCATAATCCTAATGACAAAGAAAGATGCCCAGCAGCAGATAGACATTGCCATTATTGTGGAAAAAGGGGTCATTTTCAGCCAATGTGTCGACTTCGCCTGGTTGAAGACGACGAGGTTGTTGAAGAAGAGAATGCTTGTAAATCCCAGTAATATTGCAGTAGTCCTGTTGTTGGACACAGGATCTGATGTATCAGTCACGTTAGAAAGAGAAAGAAATCGCAATATTTGCTATCAAATATTAAAGACTTCAATTGGGGTTTTCAAGATTACAATTCACAAGGAATCTCAGTTGTAGACTTGGTAGAGACAGAGGTCAAATACACAAATTTGTAGATAGGGAAAAAGGTGATATTGCATAACCTAAATTGGCTAAAACATCATGAGTTGAACCTGAATAAAAAGTCTTATAAGACTATCAGGGTAAAATAAACATCAGCAAACTTAGTGATAGACTTTAGAGTTGTTAATAAAGTTCATATGTTTTTATGTATCCATATAAAATAAGTATTGACTATTTTAAGTTGTAAGTTTAATCTACCATCCCAGGCACCACCCAAGATCCACTATGGGCACCAAAAGACAACAAATGTAATAAATATGTATCTCCTGCATCTAACACTAAAATAAGTCCTCAGCTACCAAAGGTACTTCAAAGATTTTTAAAGAAATATATGATGTCAGCCTGTGTGGAGTAAGGGGATGACTGTATTATTTCTCAGAGTTCAGAAGACTTGTAATATGAATGCCAATGTACTGAGCGAACCAAAGCTATGCCAGGCATATCAGTTCTGTAGGTTTGGATGAAGATATTGAGATATCAATATCCTGGTCAGCTCCATTGCTTCGGAACAGACCCCCCCCCCCCTCAATCCCTTGACCATTGTTGTCATGGTTGGGCTTAGGAGGCAAAGACTTGGACCCAATGCTGGAACTCCCCTGCCTTGGGACTTCGCCCTCGACTCAACAAATTTTGCATGGGTCTTTTTTCCCCTCCTGCTTTTTCATTTCCGTCCCCTTCCTAACCCCTTCTACTATCCACTTCCTAAGGTGTGAGAGCCGTGCTGAAAGGATGAAAGGCTGACTTTGTGCCAGTCCTGAATGGCCTGAGGGAGCCATGGGCACGGTATTCCCCTGCTTTAGTTGCCTAGCCCTTACCTGTCAAGGGGACCCTGAGGGGTGGACTGTTTCTTTCCCAAACATACTCTAGGCTCACCATGGCCAATAATTAAGGTGTTATACTATTATTAGGGGCAATGTGGCTTGCCCCTTCATCAAATAGCCCTACCAATTCAAACTCTCCCGATTCCTGACCCCAGGCTCTCCTTTGACCACGGCTCCGATTACTTCAACTGCTACCCCCTCCTCATTGCCTACTAGAACATTATCCACCCAAGTTAACATTCAGTCTCCAGGACACATTTCTACTCTCCCAACATGCTCAACTTCACCACCTCTACCCCCACAACCCTCTTCATCAACTACCCCATCCTCCCTTATTACTACTTTACAGCCTTATTGCCCACCTCTCCATAACACTACCTCCCTCAACACTACTCCCTCTTCCACATGCCCCGTTCCTTCTACTACCCCCAACTCTTCAAACATCTTAAATACCCTATTTAGCCCAGCCAAATGGGACCAATTTTTCATGATCCCTCTCAGAACTTCTTACTCTGGCAACGCTCTTTTCTTCTAGCAATGTCTCCAAAAACAAGTAGGCAAAGTCTCTTTCCATAGCTGACCCGATTGTTCCCATCTCATCGCAGTAACAACTGAAAACCAATCTATACCATTATCAACTCTAACTGATCTGTCTGGTAACCCCATTCCTGCAGAACCTTGTCCAACCCTCAATACACTATGCCACTATGTCCACATCACACCAACTATGCTTCTCACCTATTCCACCTCTCCTAAGACCCTCTTGTATAACCGATGGCAATCTCTTTGGTCAAGTCTCCATATTAATAAATTACATACCATAACACTATCAATCTCCTGGTCAGCTCCATTTCATCAGAACAGACGTTGGGAAACGGCTCTCGCCTGCTTACACATTGGCCACACCCGTCTAACACACTCCTATCTGATGTCACTCTCTGATCCACCCCTATGTTCCCTATGTAATGTCCCTCTTTCAGTTCCACACATTCTGTTGTCCTGCCCATGCTTTGTTGCAGCCTGTACGTCTGCTTTCCCCCACCTATCCTCCCTTCACCGACTTCCCAACCTATCAGACATCCTTACAGAATCTCTCACTTTCTGCTTTGACAATCTGTTCTCCTTCCTCAGATGCATACATGTCCTTCACTTGATCTAACCCCTTACCTAACCTGACCTTAGCTCATTCACTCGTCAATTCCTCTTCCCAGCTTTAGCAACTAAACACTAAGTCAACCACCCTTCACTACCCTTTATTATACCTCCCTATAGTGCTACATGATTTTAGATGTCTAGCACTTTTATTTTGCTTTTAACCATTAACCTTCGGAACAGACTTTGGGAGACGGTTCTCGCCCGTTTACGTATTGGCCACACCCGTCTAACACACTCCTCTCTGATGTCACATTCTGATCCACCCCAGTGTTCCCTATGTAATGTCCTTCTTTCAGTTCCACGCATTCTGTTGTCCTGTCCACGCTTTGATGCAGCCGTACCTCTGCTTTCCCCCAACTTATCAGACATCCTTACAGAACCTTGTACTTTCTGCTTTGACAACCTGTTCTCCTTTCCCAGACGCATACATATCCTTCACTTGATCTAATCCCTTTACCTAACCCTATCCAAACCCATTCACTCATCAACTCCTTTACGCATCTTTAACCTTTTCAATATTAATCAAGATAGCTAACTACTAACTCAACCGCCCTTCACTACCCTATACTGTACCTTCCTATAGTGCTACATGACCTTAGAGGATTAGTACATTTATTTTACTTTTAACCATTCACCATTTCCCAACACTCAAAAAGACAAGTGCCTCTAAATAGGATATGACAGAGAAGTAGCCACAGTATGATTAGAACAGTTGATAATAAATTTACTAGTGTATTGTGTTATGGCAGGAATGTAAAGGGTTATAGATTGATTGAACCTCTAAACATTTGTGACAGGGAGTAGTAAAAGCTTGGATGGCTTAAAACCCTTTATTAAATATAAGAGTTAGCACACGGAGTTGAGAACACAATGATGACAAGGCTTGGGTTAAGGCGAGGGCGCCTAGGTCACTGGCGAACCCTGCCAAACGGCAACCTGGCCGCGCGGTCAGACGTGACCTCGCCGCGGCACAGAAAACACTATTTGACCGGGGTCAAAACGCGGCCTTAAGTATCCGAGGCGCTGGCTTGGGGGGGCGAGGAGGATCGCCTAGCCGTTGTGGGCACGCCGCTTGGGTAGCCAGGGCGTGGGTGCCACGTGGACACTGCGAGCATCCACGGGGGCCACGCAGGCATATAATACCGATATAATGCACAGTATAAGGAACCAATTATGTAATCCATTCCCCCCCCAATCCCTTGCCCGTTGTTGTCGTGGGGGGCTTAGGAGGCGGAGACTGGGACCCAATGATGGGGAACTCCCCAACCTTGGGACTCAGCCCTTGACTCAACTAATTATGCATGGTCTTTTTTTTCCCTTCCCACTTTTGTTTCTGTCCCTTCACCAAACCCTTCTGCTATCCACCTCCTAAGGTGTGAGAGCCGTGCTGAAAGGATGAAAGGCTGACTTTGTGCCAGTCCTGAACGGCCTGAGGGAGCCATGGGCACGGTATTCCCCTGATTTAGTTATCTAGCCTCAAGGGGACCCTGAGGGGTGGACTACTTTTATCCCCAACATAATCCAGGCTTACCATGGCCAGTAATGAAAATATATCCCCACTGTTAGGGGCAATGAGGCTTGCCCCTTTATCAAATAGCCCCAACGAAGTAAACCCACCCGATTCCCCGACCCCAGGCTCTCCTTTGACCACGGCTCCAAACACTGCAATAACTACCCCTTCACCAATGCCTACTAGTACAGTAGCCAACAATCAACCCTCAAGGAACATTTCCACTCTCCCAGCATGCCCAACTTCAACACCTCTACCCCCACAACCTCCAACATCAACCACCCCATCCTCCCTTATTAATACCTTACAGCCTTATAGCCCACCTCTCCATAACACTACCTCCATCAACACTACTCCATCTTCGTCACGCCCCTCGCCCTTCTACCACCCCTATCTCTAAAACAATCTTGAATACTCTCTTCAGTGCAGCCAAATGGGACCGATTTTTCGTGATCCCTCCCACAGCTCCCTACTCTGACAACACCCTTCTCTTCCAACAATGCCTCCAAAAACAAGTAGGTAAAGTCTCTTTCCGTAGCCGACCCGACCGCTCCCGTCTTGTAACAGTAACATCCGAAAACCAAGCCATAGCATTAACAAAACTAACTGACCTATATGGTAACCCCATCCTAGCAGAACCCCATCCAACCCTCAATACTTGCACCGGAACAGTCTCAATCTCACCAACAAATTGCCCAATCTATGACAAAGATTGGTCAGATTGTGGAGAAGATCTACTTGCCTGTCTCACAGACTACGATGCAACATCAGTACAATGCTATTCCATCCCCCCCCAGAGGTCATCGAAAGAAACCCACTAACATAGCCAAAATTACCTTCCGTAGACATGACCTTCCCTTTAACGTCTACATAGGAGGAGAATCCCTCCCTGTTCGTCCATACCAACCTCCTCCACGTCAGTGCCAAAATTGTTGGCGTCTAGGACACCCAGCCAAACACTGCCGTTCCACAGCCAAATGCCCATTATGTGCCCAACCTGGCCATACCCGATCTAACTGCTCTGCACAATCACGCACATGTGCCAACTGTGGCGGCCCCCATAATGTATTTTATAGGGGCTGTCCCACCTACAAATTTGAATCTGAGGTAGCAACTCTCAGATTCAAACTCGGACTCACACTGCGTGAAGCCAGACAGGAAGCACGTCGACGTGGATTCTCTCTTACTCCTTACTCCAGTAATACTGCTCATTCTAACACTTCTAAACCCACCCCTCCTACATCTAACCCCCCCCACTAACCCCACCTACCTTCCCCAGTCAAACTCTTTTGCCATCCTAAATCCAGAAACTCCAATCTCTACTACAGATACTCCAATCACCACTACAACCCCAACATCTTCCCCTCTCCCTCCTCGCACTCCCCGTAACAGACAGAACAAACGTTCCACCCCCTCTTCCCCTACCACACAATCACCCCCATCATCCCCATCATCCTTTGCCCGTACTCTTGAGACACCAGTCCTCTCTTCCCCCCCTCACAAGAAATCCTTTATCCCCCAAAACTCCCCAACCAACTCCACAGAAGAAACTATTGAAAATATTCAAGATTACTTAATGAAAACCGACACTCAACCTACAACTCCTGCTCCTTCCACACTCCAAGTAATTGCTGATATCCATCCTCCTCCTAACGATATCCCCCCTACACCCTACCCTCCTACCCCCTCCCAACACAGCCCATCCCCCCTGACCCCAACCCTGCCCACATTAACTCTCCCACCATCCCCTCTATCCCTTCCACTCCCTCCTGGATACACACGTGAATCCCTTATGTCACAAGTATCCCCTTCCTCAGACCCTCCATCTCCTAATACCCCTCCAGATAGAACACCAACTCCCACACCTCTCCCATCTCAAACCTCTCAGTCCTTATCCCACCCTCTAGCTGCTTCCCCTTCAAATTCTCCAACACGTACTACAATCTATATCACTAAATCAACGAAAGTATAACTATCCTTCATTGGAATATTCGCGGTTTCCGCTCCCACAGACCTGACCATCATATCCTTTCCTCTTATAACCCATCTATTGTATGCCTTCAAGAAACCTTTCTTATGCATACCCTTTATCTAATATAACACCCGACCTTAACCCTTTCACTCACTAATTCCTTTGCCCAGCTTAGACAACTAATCACTAACTCAACCACCCTTCACTAACATTAACTATAGTGCTACATGACCTTAGATGTCTAGCACATTTATCTTGCTTTTAACCATTAACCATTATGTAATCCATTCAGCATAATAAAAATGTATATAATACTTAAGTTGCCATAATATTAGTGTATGGCTCTTTTTTTTTCTTTTCTTGTATAATTTCCTAATATACAAAATGTTATTTTGTAGATAGGATCATTCTGTTGGTTAGAAAATAATGTAGAATATATGTTACACCATGTATTGTTTATTTAGAGGTTAGTCGACGCTAGAAAACATAGCTCTTTGTGACATGTAAATAAAAAAAATAAAAAAATAAAAAATAAAAAATAGAAAGAGAGAGGGAGAATAAATATTCAGCAAAAGATGGTAATACCCATTCTTTCTCATTTATATATATATTTTTTTATTT